TTCCACCAGGCTGTATCAGACCAGCAAACCTGGTCGTTCCCCCCCCCCCTTTTTTTTTCCAAATGAGTTTGAGTTTTGTTCTGTTCTCCCTCTCTGTCCATGATCTCCTACATAGATCCTCTTCCAGTTGGTTGACAGTAGTAGCCGGGCACCATCTAGTTCTTCTGGTCTCATGGTCGTATAGGCTGCAATTTGGATGGTGTACCAGTCGCTAGGACTAATTGTTTCCATGACTTTTTTGGTTTTCTTCATTTTTCTTTGCTCTGGATGAGGAGAGACCCATTGTTGCATCTAGATGGCAGCTTGCAAGCTTTTAAGATCCCAGTCACTACTCGCCACAGTAGGAGGTGGAACAATGTTTTGTGTAGTATGTTATGCCAGTTGAGCTTGATGTCCTCTGTGACTATTAGGGACCATAATTTTATGGAACTGAATTCTTACTAAGAAATAATAATCTAGCATATTATTTAAACATGCTAGAGTAAATCACAGAAGGAAGTGCTAGAAAACTTTAAAATGGTGTTTCTAACTATATGTATAGGAGTGAAAGGAAGAGTGTGATATTTGATTTCAAAATTCAAAGCAAAATTCTCATATCTTTAAAAAAAACAAAGAACACTTTCTGTCATTGATGAAAATACTTCCTTTACCTTTTGCCAGATATGTTCTTTATCTTTCTTTGAATCCCCAAATATTAAGATATATTATAAATGTAGAACTGAAAAGTGGGTGTTCTTTTATGGTAAGTTTGTTTTTACTAATTTGCATTTGGAAAACCCATCTTTTTTCTGCATTTGGTCTTTATGCAGATCCTTTTGGGTGGAGTATAGCAGACCTCATGCCATGTTAAAATGCTACTAAAAATACTCTGAACTGTGCTATGTTCTTAATTTGGACTAATGGAAAGAACCAATCTTGGGGCAAAATGCCCTGAATTTTAGTTTATTCTTCTTCTTTTTTTTTTTTTTTAACCATGTATTTTTAGTGCTGGTAATGACCCTTGAGATCACCCAGTTCAACTCACATTTTACAGGTAAAGAAATTGCGACCAGAAGGTTTAAAGTGACTTGGCCAGAGTCAGAGATTTTTATTGTGAAAGTCTTAGTTCAGCTTAATTTTCTATTTCATTGCTGCTTCTACTGTTAAGACATTTAAACAGCTTTACGAAAACCTCTTTTCACATATTGAGAAACTCAAATCAGTTTAAAAGACATGATTTAGTAAGTAGATAAAATTGATTATTATCCATTAAATGATTGGTTCTGAAAGACTTGAAAATATTTCTTTAACAGCTTTTAAGGATCTTTTTTTTCTAAGTAAGAAAATCTGTAAAATGGACTGGGGTGTTCTTTTTTTATTACTTAAAATCTGGTCCTTATGATACTTTGGTATTTTACCATTTTAGTCCTCAAACATTTCGGCTAAGCTCTGAGACGTTGTAGAGTTTTAAGAAGTGCTAAATTTTTGTTGTTTGCTTATGATGGCTTTATTTTGAGAAATAATAGAATATATGAATGTCTAATACTATAGGATTATTTTTGATGCAGTAATTACCTAAAATATTCTAAGTAGTAAATGTCAGAGAAACTAAATGTATAGAAAGAAATTACTTTTACTTTAAGCCTAGAACATAAATAAGTGTTAAAAAAAATTTTATGGAGTGTGTGTGAAATATGTAAAACGATACATTATAAGTAAGTTGTCATTTGAATCTGTATAGCTACCTTCAAGTACTGTTTTTAAATAGGAGCCAGTAAGAAATACCAGAATTGACCAGTAGAGCACATTGACTCATCTTTTCTCCCCTCTTACAGGCCCTCTGGGGATGTTCTTGAGACATTCAATTTCTTAGAAAATGCTGATGACAGTGATGAAGATGAGGAAAATGACATGATTGAAGGCATCCCAGAAGGAAAAGAAAAACATCGGATGAATAAACACAAAGTAGAAACTCAATTTTCTATTTTCATTAGCTATTATAATACATATACATGCACACACATTTCAAATAATTTAATATTTCAGAAAGGGAATTTTTGAAGCATCTTACTTAACTGACATTGAGTGTGATAGATTATTTTTTTATTTTGAGATATTTCACTTAACATTTTATGTAGTCAACCCTTAATTATTAACATACAGGAGGAAATATTTGCTGTATCGTTCACAGAATGGTCAAGAGAGGGTCCGTTTTTAGTATAAGACTATTTTTGAAACTTTTTTTAAAAAGTGACCCCCTTCCCCTTAATCCAGCTGCCACAATTAAAAATTAACTGCTGAAGTCTGTGTCTTAATGTATAATAAGCAGGTTATAAATTAACTGAAGCTGCAACAGAGATAGTTCCACACTAAGTGTGGGAGTAGTATATGGACTGTGATATGTTTGTGTATTCTCATTTGTTGTATGGATCAATGAAAATTTACTTCTGTTTATAAACTGAAAAATCAGTTTTCCTATTTTATTGGTGATGAGGGGTAGCTGTAGCAGCAAAACTAGATTAGATGATTCATTTGTGAATTATCAGAGTATATGTTTTTTCAAGAGTGTGTAAAAGAAGAAAGGTTTATTTGTGGTTCTTTGGGATGTTACAGTAATGTGGAGAAAATGTCAGTGTTCCTCAAAAGCTTCCAGCTACAAGAGCAGTTTTAAATGTTTCTGCCACATTTCATATGTTTTACATACTGTATTGGGTAAATAGAGATTTTGTTTCTTTACTATCTATTTGGTCTGCTCTTCAGTAAAGCGCTATTATAATTACCGTAGTTTTTTTTATTTGTTTGTTTTAATTGTGATTTGGGTAAAACTTGACAGAGTAAATTCACTCTACATACAGCAGCTCACATACACTTTGTCTCATGATATTGATTGCAATTTACCACAATGCAATAGCTTCCCTCCCATTTCCTCTCCCTAGTTACCTCTTCCCTGTGTCCTTCCCTCCATGCATTCCTGTCCCCTGTGCATATACAGCCCCTCTATATTCTCTCGTGATTGTTCTCTCCAAGGAGTGTATCTACCTAATGTAAATATTCAGCTCATATGCCTGTCTTTAGGAGCTCTGGTAGCATAGTGCCTAAGGCACTTGACTGTTTACCAGAAGGCTGGCGATTCAAACCCACCAGCCACTCCTCGGAAGGAAGGTTGGGCAATCCTACTTCTGTAGTGATACTGCCTCGGAAACCCAAGGAGGGGTCGCTATGAGTCGGGGCCGACTCGATGGCAAACAACAACAACATGCCTGTCTTTTGTTTGGCTGGAAGCCACAGGAGTAGGTTCAATTCTAGACCTGAAGGGCAGCTAAGGGGCCATAGTCTCAGTGGTTCCTCCAGAGTCTATCAGACCAGCAAACCTGGTCTTTTTTTTTTTAAATGATTTTGACTTTTGTTCCATGTTTTTATCCCAGTCTATCCAGGATCTCCTACAGAGATCACCCTCTGAGTGGTTGACAGTTAATTACCATAGTTTTTAACTTAGATTAGTTACTGTTCCTATTAGCTGTACCATATTATTATTACTACCTAGGCTGTGGGTGTTAGACTAAGTATGTAGTTTTCAGAATGTGAGGTCAATTCAAAACAACAGTATCGGAATGCAGGTGAGTGAGTGGGCCTTTAATGAGGTCTAACTCTGAATTTACTGTAAGAAAAAAGTTAAATATTCTTTGTAATTGGCTCTTTGATAATTCTTGGTACCAGGTTACTAGTGACACACATATCACAGCTGATCTTGAGAACTACTTACCTGGAGTTAAATTTGGGATTTGTGAACTTTGTGGAAAATTTAAAATTTTGGTTCCAAAGATTTTTAAATGGGTGTATAAATGTAAAGATAATTGTGTGAAGACATTAAAGGACTCCTTCACAATTTTGGATAATCGTAATTTTTGGCTTATGGTTTATTTGCAGATAGGTAATGAAGGTTTAGCTGCTGACCTTACTGATGACCCTGATACTGAAGAAGCACTGAAAGAATTTGATTTTTTAGTGACTGCTGAAGATGGTGAGGGCGCTGGAGAAGCACGGAGTTCAGGGGATGGCACAGAATGGGGTAAGGTGATAAAGAAATTGGGGTACAGGGTGGGGGTGGGAGAAATCTAGCCCTTAACAGGTGAATTACTATTAAATATTTTTTGTGGAATGTGTGTATCTGAATGTATGGTGGCAGTTAAACAAAGAGCAAGGGGAAGTGTTATTGAATAATTTAAGTGTATTTTGTACCAATATGTTTAGATTTGATACTAAACATAAATATTTGGCTTTTGGTAGGTTTTCATTTTTAAAATTTGTCTTCAAGTTGAAACATTTGGAAATTCACTTCCTTTCCTCTTGGTAGAATTTTATTGTTTTTTTTTAATGAGCATGTATTCAGTTTTAAACATTCCCATTAGTTAATTTGGGGATGAATTTATTTCAAGAAAACATATTTTTAAGTGTGCATGTATGATGTTATCTGACCTATTGCTAGTAACAAATAAAACTACTAATTCTGAATTATAGATCCATATTAAACAAGATTTAATGAAAATATTAAACTTTATTGCATATAATGTCAGTGTGTAAATGTTAGGATGTAGCCTTTGGAAGTGATATATTATGCTAATAATAATCCATTTATAACTAAAAGGGATAAGTCACAATTCTGTACAAGGTAAAAACCCCATTAGAAAATAAAAGTATACATATTTTTTTAAATGACCAAGGTCCAGTATATTATTCCTATTAAATCTTTTCATTCAATCATCTTTTAATATCAGCACATTTTTTGATAGGTAGAATTCAGTATGTACTTAAGAAATTTTTCTGGAGAAAATTACTAATTACCTTAATATGTATTTCACTTGAACACCAAAGTTGCTTAGTTCCTAGCTAAAGCAATCATCACTAGATTTAAAAATTACTTTGGTGATAGGAAACGTGCCTGGACAAAAATATACCTCATTTATGTATTGAAACTTAATATTGCTAATAGCAAGAGAGACAAAACCTAACAGATTTGACCCTCTTGATGTAAAAATGATTCAAAAGCCCAAAAGATCAGAATTTTGTTACCAACTTTATCATTGTTTGCAATTCTCAAGTATTGCAAACCTCACTTATCTAATGTACACAGTTACTTTCTAGACTTAGAATGTACATTTTTATACTTACTATTTGAAGATAGATATGTTACTTTAAAAGCTTACCTTTCTTAAGAATTAGCTTTTCTCAGGAGATACAATAAAAGATAGGTTTTTTACTTTTAGCTTCTCTGTACAGCCCATTCAGTGTTAGAAATACCATATCTTTTCCCAATAATTTTTATAGTACCTGTTTTTTCATAATTACAAAATAATGCATATATATTTTAGAAAGCTTAGAACTCACAGCATGCATGCAGAGGAAAATGAAAACTCACCTGTTGGAGAGAGCTATGGTGTACACACACATGCACTCATTCAAACACTTATACTCACTCACATACACATAACTTTTTAATTAGAAAGGATTTACAATATGCTGATTTGTAACCTATACTTTTCATTTAATATATTCTTAGGCACATATAGATTATTTCATTTTAAAAAATGACCAAAAACAATTTATTGAACATCTGTATTTCTGAATCTTGACACACACCCATTTCTGTTTTCTTAGGCTAAAAGTGCTTGATGTTGAACTGCTACTCAAAAATATATACAGAAATTTCAGGAACTTCATTTGTATGTAATGGCATTATTTCTTTAATATGAAGTACCATATAATGTTCTGTTCTTCCGTCCAAAGGCTTCTGGATGTAGAGTAGAACTTAAAAAGAGAGGACCTAATCAGTGAATGATAACTGTCAATATTTTACTCTTTACTGTCCATATTTGAGAGTGACCTGTTGTCATCTGAGTAAATAGTAACTTACAAAGCCTTTTCACTGTAGATGAGATAGAAATACTATCTTTAAAGCATTTAAGTTCTCAAAAAGGAAAAGGACTCTTTTAGGTACAAAATACTTCAAGTTACTCTTTCCTTAAGAAATGAAAAACTATCAAAAGGATCCTGTTTATGCAGTATTCAGAAGTTTATTATTTTCGCCAAGAGATCTCATATTTAGTTTTTCCCAATCAAAGAGAATGGATATACAAGTACTCCTTTATATTTATTTAATTTATTACTGAAAATTTCTTTAGTTGTAAATGAGAGGGTGTCAGTTTCCAGATTTAAATTATTGGGTGAAAGACAGATATTTTTCTTTATTATAAATAGTCTTGACTATTTATCCACAATTGGATAATCTGTGTTATTTTTTGTTTGTATACTACCAATCTGTTCAGTTAACTGATTTGGAAACCTCTGCTTTTCAGAAAGCTCTTTTATTCATGTTTTTCTTCTGTCATCTGAGTTACTGATCCTGAGTTTAATGTTGATATGTTTTATTCTTCTCATAACCAAAAATATTTGTTAGGACTTCTGATTTTTGCTATTTCTTTCATGGAAACTAGACTTTTTAAGGATATTCAGTTATTTGCTCCCACACTTTGAAATTGTAATCCTTGGAAATTGATAGGACTACAAAAATGCATTAGTACCTGAACATTTTCTGTTATTAAAATACAGTGGGTAATTAAAGCACTGAATGTTTGTATAAAGTTAGTTATAAATTTATGTACTTTTTAGTAGGTTTGTGTGATCTTCCACTTGGATAATTAGAATTACCATAATAGAATTTCATGTTTTTGGGGTTTTGAGTTGTCAGAGGACAACTTTTTTGTGCATATTTGTATATTCTTTTAAACAAAAAAGTACCCTTAATGAATTCAACCTCATTTCTTGATATTTTTTTTCTTCCCCCTAGATTTTTTTAAAAACAGGATTAACATGTAGAAGAGTATGCTGCCTCTTCCCTTTTGCTCTTATCTATTTCTTATAAGCACTATCAAATCAGCTGTTACTTACCAGGCAAGTTTGAGGATATTGTTTGTGCACATATGCAATCACCAGCCTGTTTTTTACACTCCCTACACTTTCCTTTGTTTTCTAGATTTGAGATTATCTTGCAAGTAGTGTTATATTCTTTTTAAGCCTGCCTTTTTTAATTTAAATACCCTTTGATTTTTCACTTTACTCCCCTTTGCTACTTTAGTTAGAGCTATTTGTAGCTTTTTTCTTTCTACAGAGGTCTTTTTAGAAACTGCTTGGCTATCTTATTTAATTGTTTTGACTTACTTAGTTTCCTTTATAAAGTTTATAACAAAGATTTTAATTTTAACTTTTCACATACCAGTTACCTATGATCATAGATAGATGAGTAGAAAGTGATGACAACTGTAAGATACAGTTAAGTTTGATATCTTGAGTTCAGAAATTTGAATGTCTGTTGCCATTCAAATATGGGAATTTCTTATGTTTACTAAATAATATATGTGTGGGTGTGTATATGCTGTAGGTATATCCACACATGCTACATTAGTCTATAAAGAATAAAAGGCTTTTTTAATGCCCACTTTATAGCTTAAGCCCTTGAGGCTTAGGGTGATTATAAGAACTGTAAGCCAGAATATAATGAATATAAACCAGAATCAAAATTTAATGTTTTCCTTATAACCTAACTATTCATTTCATCTTACTGACTTAGCCTATGTGTTTTGGTAAAAAAAAAAAATTTTTGATACAACCAGCTTGCAAAACTCCTAGCTCTGTAGCAAGATGTTAAGCATCTTAATAATATGGCTTGTTTAAAATGAAAAAAATGAACGAAAAATCCTTAATGCTTAAAATAATTCTAAAAGCTTTATACTGCTTCTTTTTAACACTGTTTCTTCCTCTAGTTTACTGTACAGTAATTTTTTTTCCAGGCACAAGTATTTAATTAAAACAAATAGGGATTTGTTAATTCAGTATGTCATCTTTAACAGATATATAATAATGTATGTTTTCACTGCTTTTATCTTACCCTCAAAAAATCAGCCCTAAAAAAATTCTTCAGTGGAATTTGAGTTTTGTTTGTTTACTTGCTTGCTAATCTTAGTTTTAGACCTGTGGAAGAAGGTTATGAGATGTTGAACTTTTTGAATGGGATAGGGGCAGAGGTGGGATTCTCTGAAAGCTTTGTATGGATTTTTTGAGACATTGTACTTTGGAACTATATGTATATATTATATTGGGCAAGAATGCCACTCCATTAGTTTAGCTGTTCTGTGCATGTAGAGTCAGTGTGACAGGAGATGCATGAATATTTTCATTAATAAAACAGTGCTGACTTTTCCAACTTGCACTTTTATAAGTAGTTTGCATGTAATCCATTCATTTGCTTTTATGATGCTGGCTGAATGATTTTTTTATTAACACTTTATAAAGATGCAGTGATCTAATTATTACAGCATTAGATTTCTAATGTCAGTCCATTGAAAGAATACCAGTTGTTAAAGAATGATAACTTTTAAATTTGTGATTCATAAAAATAAAGCCGCATTTAACTATTGTTTCTGTTAACATTAAATGTTTAGAAACCTATGACATGGGCATTTAGAGTTTGATTTGTGAATAACAAAGCTGAGACTGCACCTTTAAAGTATTTTTAGTATATATTGTTAGTTCATTTTTACTATGATTATGTGAAGCTGTAAGAGTTTACTGCCAACAGCCTGCATTGCCAACTGCTGATTTTTTTTCTTTTAATAATATGCTGCATGTAGACAAAGATGACCTCTCCCCAACTGCTGAGGTTTGGGATATAGACCAGGGACTAATAAATAAACTGAAGGAACAGTACAAGAAGGAACGAAAGGGGAAGAAAGGGGTGAAGAGTAAGTGCAGATTCTGAATATTAAATATTATATACCAATATTGAGGGAAAAAAAAAACTTTGATACTGTTTTTTTACATAATTTTTTTCCTTTTGTTTCATCAAGGGAGCAACCAACTTTAAACTTTGTCTGTTGTAGAATTGAAATTTACTTGAATATAAGTTAGGATGCACTATTGATCAAGTAGAAAATCACTTTAAATATATGGGTGGGGTGAAGGAAAGATTTCAAGTTTTTCTAAAGTTTTAAAACGTTTACCAAATTGTAAGAAATAATTCCATTAAAAATAATAGAAATTTCTCCAAAAAGGAGAAATATAAATATCTCTGTTTGTGATATATATGATACTGTAGCTATACTGACTCATACCCAGGTTACATTTCTTAGTTTGAGGATCCTGGCATACAGTGAATAGGAAAGCCTTTACCATAGTTTCTGCTTTCTGGCCTTCATCCAACCAAAAACCCTAATAACAGCAAAAAAATCTCTGCTGGGTGGCATAGTGCCTAAGGCATTAGACTGCTAACGAGAAGGCTGGCAGTTCCTTCTGCCAGAAGGAGTGGGTTTCCACCGCCACTCCTCGGAAGGAAAACTGGGCCGTCTACTTCCATAGAGATACAGCCTCGGAAACCCAAGGAGGGGTTGCTGTGAGTTGGAATCGACTCGATGGCAGTGAGTTTGCTTTTTTGTTTTTTGGGGTAATATTTTCTTGGCTAACCTGGTGGGGGCAGAAGTCCAGAGAAGAAGGTAGCGGTGGTAGTAGGGTTTGTTCAGTCAGTAATGGCAAGGTGTTTTTTGGTGCCTAATACACTTTTCACTACTTTATGTTCTGACCAGTGTACAGTAAAAGTATAAATGCAGCTGTAGTACCTATCCCAAAAAAATAATTCTTTTCAGTTTTGTGAATCAAATTTAAAAACAGCCTCATGAAAAGAATCTGGAGACTTACGAGTATTAAATGGAATTCCAAACTTATTTTTGGGAAACTTTACCTTGAGCTGGCCATTTATGCCTGCTAGTCTTAAGTATTTTGATTATGTTAAGGAGAAAATAGTGAGTGACAAAGGTAAAAACCTGTAACTCACTGCTGTGGAGTTGGATCTGGCTCACAGCGACCCTTCCTGGTGGGGTCAAACCACTAACCTTCTGGTTAGCAGTCAGATACCTTAGGCATTACACCACCAGAGCTTCTATTAAATTATCCAGTCTTCCTTCTGCGGAGTGGCTGGTGCATTTGAGCTACTAACCTTCTGGTTAGTAGTCAGATACTCTAGGCACTATGCCACCAGAGAGCCTTCTATAGGCAGTCATTTATTATTTCTTTATATGGTCATAAATACATTCATTTATAAAATGGTAGACATAATGGGAAGAGTTGTAAGATTTTTGACAGTAAAGTATTGAGTGATTTCTTTTATTCTGAAGGCTAATAAGTAGAGTTTTGACAATTTTAATGTGCACGTTTTTATACTAGCTTTTATTATTGAATGTGAATACGAAGATAAATAATTGTCAAAGAAGTTTCAGGCCATATGGTGAACTGCTTGTTATATTTAAGACATTAAATGCTGGTCTGGGGCTATGTTCAGCTCTAACATAACTTACCTATTACTTATGCATGTTAAGTATGAAAGAAATGTTGCATGATCGACTCTTTTAATATAGACACAATGACATTGGAATTTCAGGATTTAGGGTTTGTTTGTTCCAAAGAAATAAATTAGTATAATACTAGGTTACTAATGTATATTGTTTGTAAGCTAAGTTTTCTGCTCAGAATTTCTTAGAAAAATGTTTGATAATGTTTGTGTCTGATTTAAAATAGAAATATTCTTTGTTTTCCTGATACTTTTTGGAGGTTTAGAAACATAAGATAAGTCAACTAAAAGTCTTTTCTAGTTGCAAGTTTAAAATTTGTCTCTATTTTTTAAGATTTAAAAGCATACCTGTTCAACTAAGAATATTAGAAACAGTAATTGAAGCTACATTTAAAAATCCCTGGAGAAAATAATTTAATTTTCATAATGCACATAGTTTTGTAATCTGCCTACTTACCTGATAGTTCATACAAACTAACATTCCATGTCAACAAATACTCCTCTGTATATGTTTTCCGTTTCTTTTTTAACCAAACAGCCATGTTGCGGAACCTAATATAAAACAGGTGAAAGGGAGCTGCTGAGATTGAATCAGGATTTGAGAACCCCAGAGCCATGACTCGAGGCTCTGATATTTAATAGTATTTTATTATCTAGTAATACTTTATTGTCTAGCCAGTCCCTGTAAAACTTGAATTTATATTTGTTTTATCAAAACATGAACTCATTTTTTTTATCTAATCATAAAAATAACACATTTATTCTGAAAATATGAGTAAATGCTACCAGTAGTCCTACCATTTAGAGATTGACCACATTTAATATTTGGTATATTCCCATCAAAACTTAAAATTTTCAAGAAGAATATTATTATTATTTTGAAACTCAGTCTTTTTATACTTAATGTTTTATAGTCATCTAAAATATGATGATTTTAATGGTTTCATAGTATTTCATTTTGTGAATTTAAGCTAGCCTCCTTGATAAACTTTTATTAATGTTGCTTATTTCTTTGTAGTTTTGTAAACAACCCTGTCTTTAAGATTACCTATGTAAGGAGATACAGTGAAACCTATAAAAATTGAAACTTGGTAGGACTGCCTTGTCTAGTTTTCCACCTTTAACAGGGTACAGTTTACCACTTTTCTATCACTCTCTATTAGTGGGAAATAAACTTCAGTTTTCCTTCATTGACAGGTTTCTTCCTTAACATAGGTTCTACCTTTCACAGGTTTGCTGTGAAAGGATGAGATTTTCAGCAGAATGTCTCAAGAAAGAATAATTAGGAAATAATAAATTATGTTTCTTCATATATTCCCCATATGAAATTAGGAGCTCTGGTAGCATAGTGCCTAAGGTACTATTCTAGTTCTTAGTGGATACACTTGTCTTAGTTTTCCTGATTTATTCTCCTCTATTCGGACTTTCCTGTCTTTTCATTGTATAGGATCTGATTTATTTGCCATCTCCCTTCTTTTCCTACTGGTGTTAATGAATTGCTGTACATCTTTTGACATGTGATTATCAATTTATTGGAAAAGGGAGGTCTTTTTACCTTTCAGTGTTTCTTTTTTAATGTAAATTATAAGTGAGCTTTCTTGGATCATTGTCTAATTTTCATCTTAGTATTTGTCATTTTCTGTTCCCTATCCAAGATGACAAACTGTCAGGTTTCTTGATTTGATTTCTTACTTTTAAAACTGCCCAGTCAGATAGCTTAGTTTTTCTTTTTCAAGAAAATAACCTTAATCTGGGAATTTTGGCTAATATTAGACAAATCAGATTGATGATCTTTTAGTTAGTACAGATTTTTTAAATGTGGAACAATTTGTAGTTAAACCAGTTGTGTGTGTGTGTGTGTATATGTGTGTGTGTGTATATATATATATATATATATATATATATAATTTTTCATTTTGAGTGCAAATTTAAACTTAATAGTTCATGCACATTTGGTTTCATGGCCTGGATTACAATCCCAAACCATAAAAACCTCTTCTCCCATCTGTTCCCTGTGACTACCCCTTCCCTGTGCTCTCCTTATTATGCATTCCTGTCTGTCTAGCTTTCCTTCTGTGCAAATGCTGGCCTTCTGATGCCTCATGGTTGATTGATTTAAAGGATGCATCTCCCTAAGGTAGTTGGGTGCATCTCCCTGGGATAGGTATTCTGCTTGTAGGCCTTTTTACTGTTTGGCTGAGAGCTAATCCACAGAAGGGAATACAGTTCCAGGCCCAAAGGATAACCCAGGGCCATAGTCTTGGGAGTTCCACTAGTCTCTATCCAACCAGTAATTCTGGTCATTTTTGTGTTTTTGAATTTTGTTGCACATTTGTCCTCCTACTCTATCCAGTATCTCCAGTATTGATCCCTTTCCTGGTGATTGGCATAGGTAGCTGGGCACCATCTAGTTCTTCTGGTCTCAGGGTCATGTAGGCTGGGTTCCCTGTGGTCTATCATATTCTTGAACTAATTGTTTCCAAAAGACTCTGATATTCATTCTTCTTTGCTTCAGACAAGGGGAGACCAATAGTTGCAATACTTGAAAGCTTTTAAAAGACCCTAGTTGCCACTCACCAAAGTAGGATGTAGAACTAGATTTTTATGTACTATGTTATGCCAGTTGAGCATGATGTCCCCCAAGACTATGGTCCCAAGCCCACAGGCCCAGTAACTCTCTCCCTCAAGATGTTTGGTTGTCTCTGAGAAGCTACTCCAACCTTGTCACCTGTTACCTGTAATGTATATGATTGTTTTTGTAGCACAAGTACATATGTAAAACTGTCTTCAGCCAAATATATCCTTGGTCTTGGGTATACTCCTGTTTGTTTGCCCACTCCTGATTGTCTCACCTGTCTATGCATTTACCCATAGCCTAGTGTTTGCTTCCACTGGTAAGGCATTTTGCATGTAATAGTATTTGCCTCTGTTGTCTATATCTTTTGTGCATGTTTCTGTGTCTCCTTTTCCCTATAATCATTGTGCTGGTCATATACTTTTGTTATATTGCCTTTCCCTTCACCCAAATCACCATGTGACTCTTAACTAGTCAGAAATTTCCCCTCCTCTTCCCTTCCATCCCCAGTAACCAACTGCAAAAACGGCAAGGAGGCCACATGTTCTGACCTCCTCTAACCCTACAAGAGGAAGACAGGATTACCAGCAGTAACCCAAGGCCTGTTCCTGCCAGGCCAGACATGCTGCCTCCCTCCAGCCCTTTCACCAAC